CAGGTAACATTAATGTTCTTATATTACTTATGTGAGGTTGTCAAAACTCACCGAGGTGCCGTGATATTCATACTGCTCATAGTCAAACAGGATTTCCCTCCTGTGAAATTAATGAAAGGTAAGCATGCATTCAACTGTTGTGCTGTGCACAGAAAGAACCAAACAACTAAGTAAAAACACTTCACCTTCGAGCCTCCCACTCCCTCTTGGCTCGCTGCCTTTCAATTCTCCTTTCGACAGCCCCCTGCAAACACAGGACCACAGCCCCAATGTAATAGCCTTTACAGTTCACGCTACCAGTTCATCCCTGCAGGCAGCACCGACTCAGTTTAATACGTACCTCATCAAATCTTCTGCGTTTCCCAGACGGCTCTGAGCCTTCATCGCTCTCATTTCCAGAGTCTTCTCCTTCCTCATCTTCATCTCGAAAGATATCGTCATACGACGGCACGCTGAGGTCGTCATCCTGTTTGATGAGCAGCTTAATCTGTTGAGCAGAAGACAGAGTTAATGTAACGCTCACTTCCACAAACAAGTGGGAGTATTGTTAATCTTGAACTTCAGGTGCAAATGGATCATTGTTTACAGTGAAATGCATAAAGATAATGAACTATTTGATGTTTTGTACCAGATTGCAAATACAGTACAGCACAATAACACAAGAGTACTTCTATCTGTAGTTTTGATGGGCAAAAAGGAGACTTTATCTACATATTTAAAGGCCCCTATGCTAACTTTGCCCGCTGGACATTATCAGTCACAGAAATTAAGAAAAATCTTATACCTAACTAGTTAGGCACTTCACCGGCATGCTGGGGAGAATGTGGAGCAAAGATGGTCGATTCATGTATTTTGGACTTATTTTAACAAGAAGTATTTCTAAAGTTTTGGACTTTGATGCTTGTAAAGGTTTTACAATTTTTTATCTTGCCTATTCCCCTGTGGACTAAGCAATGGTGACAAACACCTGAAGAGCCTGGCTCTACAGGCAAACTAGTGGTTAATATTGTTAAAGACACACATACCAGTGGACAGATTATACACAGTGCCAAATAGAATTGGAGGAAATGTGTGTGTTGTTATTTGGCTCTTGAGACAAACTGATGAGACTGATGATGTGAGAAGATGTTTTTTTAAATTCACATATACAGAACAGTTTTTTTCCCCCTTCTGCTTTAAAATAATGCATCAACTTGGCCCTTCTTTTTTCTTACACTCCAAACGTCTCCACTATCATGCTCCCTATCATGGTCATCGTGGTTCGAAACCTCATTTTTACGTCCCCTTTAGCTGTAGGGTCGAGCATTGCATCCGCATCCTCATCAAACTTCTGCCACTGAGCTGAGTCTTACAGGCCTGACTCCATCTGATCCTTCTCTTCTCAGACTTCATGCCTTGAGTGAATCCCTGTGCTACTCTGAGGCTCTGTGGGGTAGACCCTAGCCTGTGAACCTATGTGAACTTATTAGTGGGGATATAGCCCGAATGAGCAAACCATTGCACATCACCTGGGTATCATTGTAGACATTGACCACATCTACAGGCCGGTGAGTGTCACAGATGAAGAAGATGGAGTCATCATCTGGCTGCAGCATCTCAAGGAGGTCAACATTTGCTCCGCAGTTGATGAGAACAAAGTATCGAAACTGCAGCACAAAAATCAGTCAACACAATATATAAGGTTCAGTGTTTACTGTCATATATTCATGTGCAGGCTCAGAGTAGTGTACTACAAAGCTTTCCACTTCAGGTTCTCAAGCAGAAACGCATAAAAAAGCAAAGGTTTCCATGGTGATCTCAAAAAGCTAAAAGCACCTTCATACTGGCTTGAAATAACGTGTTAACGTCAATCTCGCTTTACAGCACAGCCTTCTGGTCTTATTTAAGTATACCTGCTCTTTGTGTTCAAGGAAGGCAGTGCCAAGGTCCTGCCAGCCTGTAACTGGCACAAGTGTATACTGGATCTGGTCACAGTGAAACAAGGCCTAGTGAAGACACAAACAGTCAGTGTTTACATCAGCTTATAATTACTCTGAACACAGTAAAAGTCAAAAAAGCTCCATAAACCGCAACAGCACTTACTGAAACCTACTGTCAGTACTTTTAAATATTCCCAGTTAATGCATGAACAGATGGTAACCTCCCCATTATGACAGTACGGTTGGGTGTCCGAAAGTCCATAATAACTGGAAGTATTTAATCAGCATGCTCTCTGTTTACCCTCTACAATGACCTTAGTTTAAGAGCGCAAATGTTCGTCATCATGCACAAAAGCCACTAGAACAAGAGAGGCAAAACAACAGTGGAAAAACAGTCAAAAACTGTGCACGCAAAGGCTACAGGAGCTGCCGCTTGCTAACATTTTATTGTCTTACCTGCAGTATTTTACAGGCGCAGAGAGCGTCAATGTCTGGTGCCACCAGGAGCACGACTCTCTGTAAGTAGCACGAGAAGGTTTATAATGTAAGCGATTTCAGTTTGCGATTTCAGATGTTAAGTTTCCTAGCTGCTAGGCAATGTTGGCTAATGTTAGAGTTAGCCTTACCTGGTTGGCGACAACTTCATAAAAATCTTTTCTTATGTCTGCGATGAACATTTTCAGAGAAGTCAGTCGATTAAAACTATTAAAATAAGACGAGCCTAATCGAATCACCCTGGGGTGGCATAAACTGCGGGTTATTTTGGCTTGCTGTCAGGCTCGGAGCTTTGACAATACATACACAGCGATGCCGCTCTGTTCCCTGTTGGAAATGTGGCGCCAAATCTACACGTCACTCCCGACCAATCAGATAGAAGAAAATCAGCAACGTCAACGCTGGAAGTCCCGCCTACCAGGTTGAGGAAACAAAGCAGTACTGGAACTAAAGAGAGCTGAAATAAAGTTATAGCTTTATTTATATCGATTTTGAAATATTTATTAATTTATTTAAATGTCATAACGATGTTTTTATAATATGTGTAAACTCCTTTAGACTTTATTAAGAACGCAATATTATTTTAACATTAGTGTTTACATTTATATTACCTGAATGGTGAATTTATAATAATATAAACAATTATAGATGGTAACCTCTCTCTACCTCTATATTTTGGAGAAAGATCTAATCAGTTTTCTGTGTGTCAGAATGATTATTTTGTTTATTCCCTGACTGCAAAGACATAGGAAAACAATTTAATAAAAAACACAAAAACCTCACAGAGTTAACTATGATTTCTGTACCATACTGTTTTAAGTCTAACTGTAAAAATGCTAAAACAATGACTTGTGCACACACTTCACACATTCACAAAATTGTAGTTTTCCACTGTGTGGTTACAATAACAGAAATTGTGTGAATTTATATGAGAGGTTCACTTAACCAAGTATAAATGTATTCATGTAAACCTGGAGCGCAGTAGTGACACACACTTTACAAGTATGTACAAGATGTTTTCATTGGCATAGCTATAAAAGTGGCATTAATCACACATTTTTAGACTTTAATGATAAAAGCTGTTATAGACTGAAATTTTAAAAAGTACTTGATTTAGATTAAAACATATTGGAAAGGATTTTGCCCAACCCCTTTCCACTTGAATAGTATATAAATGTATCTCATGAGCTTGTCTGGCAAAAGGCCTTGAAAGAAAACTTCTCCTGCAAACTCACAAAACAAGTTGAACTGAATTCTATTATTTAAAAAAAAAGGTGCGTTCAATTGTTTATTTGTGTCACCACCTGAATCTGATTTACACACCCTAACGTCTGCTAAACTATCCACCCACCAACTGTCCATTACCCTGCGAAGTCATTACTTGAAATACATTAAAATAATTTCCAGCAGAACTACATGCTTCAGTTTGATTATAATAGGTGAAAAACTACAAAAAGAGAGGTGGCACAGGTTACAGTTTTGATTAGAGGTTTAAAAATCTGAATTATTACCACACACAATATGTAAATACATACAATGTCCGGGAGATTACCTCCCAATACATCATCTACAAATACTGGTGCGCCATAATTTGATATGCACATGCGTTTTAACCTCATTTATTAATCATCCATCATCACATACAAACTCAAAACCAGGACTGCTGACTCCAAAGAAAACATGGAAAGGACAAGAGATCATTCAGTGTCATGGGGAGATTCATTAAAAGCATCACAACACAAACAGCACATAAGCAGAATGAGCTGTACGATCATGGCATGAACAAAGCAAACAGGAAAGTCTCGGCAGAATCCCCCAACATCACTCTGAATGCCCTGAAATTACATAAATTAATAGAATGGATGGAGGCAAAAAAATATGTGTGAAACATGCATGATTTTATGAAAAAGCAGCAGCCTAATGACCTTTTTTTTTTTGCCTTAAAGAGACAGTTCACCCCAAAAATCGAACTTACAGATTTTTCCTTGTTTATTCATCAAGACAATTCTAGTACGAGTTGGTCAGATTGGGAGAAATCAGCTGTAGAAATGTTTTTGCCTTTAGGGTGCTTGAATCCTGTTGCTTAGAGTTCCTCAAAATACATTTTAAAATTCCGATTTTTCTCTTTTACTATGGACATTTAGCTCCATTTTATTTAAGATTATAGACAGCACTACAGGCCGGAGGAAAAATTTGTATGTCCGACTTCAGGGTGAGTCATACCTTCAAAGTTTACCCACAACTTTGCTCCCATTTTCATCCTAACCACTTCTAAAGTTACAAATATTAAAAATTCAAGTAAACTCCTGCATTCCCCAAAAAGTAAACAAGTACCCCCAAAACATCTGTCAAAGAAATTCAGATACGATTTCTCTCCTCTTGTCTCATTTTTAAAAAAAAATTTGACATTATCCACACACGTCTTCACTTTTGACTCCACCAACAATTAATCCACTAAGTAAAAAGAAATGACACGTTTCTTTCTGAGGTTAAAAAAAATGCAGCATGCCATATTCACTGTGTAGTTTGTTTACAAGTGAATACACTGGAAACAATCAAACAAACAAAACGTAGATTCAGGAAGGAAAAAAAAAAAGGTTACATGACAGAGAGCATACACCATAACATGCAGCATACACTTCATTCATGAACTGAGAGGAACATAGTAAACAAAGGCACAAAAATTATCCGCTTTCTTTATGCCAAGTTTGGTCTGTAACCACTGAGATCCAGCTGCTTTTATGCTTGGGTTAACCGTGCAAAACTTTTGCCGGTTCAACACACAAACAGAAAAAAATATACATTAAATAAATAAAAACTCAAAATACGCCCAAACCACAAATTGTAGCGTTAAATGTCTCAAATTACGATCGATGAGTTTACATGCTGGAGAGAAAAACCTGGCCAGCAGGAGCACTGGGAGGGTAGCACCATCGCCTGGAGAGGTTAAAACAGTACCTACAGTACCCCATCTACAGTAAGCCTGAGAAGACTCGTTTAACTCGCTTTACAGTTACGGTGACTTGGAATAACGTGATTGGCTGAGCTGTCCTGTTACACCAGAGATGACTTTATCATTTAAAGCAAAGCAGGCACTGGAAAAACTGAGAAGCGTAAAGCAGCACTGCTACATCAGGATGTTAATATCATGGAGGACTTTTTACAGAGAAGTTTTTTTTTTTTTTTAAAAATCAATAAATGGAAACATTGAACATATATTATAGGAAGACAAAGTTTTAAAGCATTCGATAAAGTAAAAATAAATAAGCGTGATCAATGTGTTTACGTGAACTTGGCTTTAAATGCAAGAGGAGTGCTTAGTTGTTTGCACTCCTGAAAGTTCATTTAACAGAATCACTTGGAGGTGTTATATACTTTTAATCACTAAACCCAATATATGCTCAAAAGCAAAACAAATACTGTTTTCCTCTGTGCCACAGAGCTTCACTGCTGTCCAAAAACTACTGGAATGTTATATGTGTATTCATCCGCAGCTGAAAATAGTCCCTATTAATTGCACTTTTGTTTTAACAACAGTGCTCAGCAATTTAAGAAGGTTTTACCTATAAAGTATTGACTTTTTTTTTCAAAGTTTTACATCATCAAAGCATCAAAACACCACAGAAAAGATGGGAAAGTCAAAGTAATATTTAACTCGTTGTTAGCTATGATTTAATCGTGGGACCAGCCAACATCAAGCCAGGCTGTTTAAACTGAAAGGCTGTTGCTGCCACTGCACTTTATGGCAGCATAAAGTTAATTTCACATTCTTAATTTGCAGGTATAACAAAGACAATCCTGTGTCTTTACCCAATTCCTTATCAAAAACAACAAAATGTTTACCACAAAGTATCTTAGTGTTGTGATATGCTATAACAGGCATCATGACAGATGCAGTTTTACCCAGTAACCCCAAGAGAGACATGGTCTGGTGGTCAGTAGCATCTAAGCTCAAAAGTTCCATTACACTGGATCATTTAATCACATCTTACTGTCTGTGTCATCATGTCATAACATGTTTCTCTGAGGTTTTACTAGGTGTGTTTGTGCTATTTTGATCTGTGAACAGAAAGGACAGTCAAGGACTTTGACCCCTAACAAGCTGATGTTTGCTCCCAGTGTTTGTTTAAGCCTGAGCCAGCTCTAAAACCACAAAGACTGAAACAGATGGTGAAAAATCCTCAGGCATTGAGTTTCGATTCTTCTCACCAGAGGAGGCGTCTATGCACAGAAATGAACCTCAGAGTGCGGTTAGCTTCCCTTTAAGCCTCAATCCTGCGTCTTTACAAAGTTGCAAGTTTACAAAACAATCACAAAGTGATTCTCACATGAGAAACTCTTTCACAGCAGCTGAGCCAGAGACTGATGAGTGGTGGACTGTTTGTACAGTGGCTGTGTAGATAACCTGCTCAGCTGTTGTGAGTAAAGTATGTGATCTATAGGCACAATACACAGAGTGTGCAGAGCTGGGCTGGAGAACAGCATCATGATAATGAGATACCCCATCTGTACCCAGCAAACATTTCAATACTGAATAACTGTCACAGCGGAATTTTCAGACGTCAAGTCACAGTTGGAAAAATACATGAGGTTACCGGACATCATTGTTAGACTTTCTGGTAAGAGAAAGCTTGTGTTCAAGATTTTTTTTCCCCACTATCTCCTTATTGATGAGAATAAAACAAAAAAGTGTCTCGAGAGGAGGAATCAGGAGAAAAAATAATCATGTCGTGTGACCTCTTTCTTTTCCTGAGCGTTCCTGAGTCTATGACACTGACATCAAGGACAGGGAGGAGATAATTGTAAAAGTTCAATGCATAAACTTCACTGTGCCACAAATGAAATACAGTTTAGATGCAGAAAACTGTAAAAATATAAAGTGTTTTTGCAGTAACCCGATTTGTTATTCCTCACTTTACAAGAGGCTGTCTGACCTTGCCTCTATTCTGCGTTGAGACAACACTGACATACGTCTGTCTACGGTTTAGTTTTTGTGGTCGTACTGCGACCTCTTTTGACCTGTTTGCTGGGTAATTACGGGACTAGAAAGACACCTGCTAATGTGCTAGTGTAGCTCTCAAGGGTTTCAGAAACAATGTAGGAGAAAATTTGAATCGGTAATTGATGCAAATTCATTCCAGAAAAGAAACTGTGTATCATGTCTCCCTCTACAAAAAGAAAACCCAGAGAATACATAGACAATGATTAATGATCAACTTAAATACCGATATGCTGCCCAGCCCTAAAGAGTGAAAAAACAGTATTACATGGATTACTGTGCAACTCAGTTTAAATGACACCAGCAAAGAGGAAAATGCAGTTACAGCTTTTCTACATGGGCAGGATGTAGGTGGAGTTGGCCAGCTTGCGCTCCTGTGCGGCAGGAACAGTCTCTCTGTGACGCAGAGGTCTGTGGCAGTCTGGGTCCCGAAGGGGAGGGTAGTGCTGCCTGTAGCACAGCCAGGCGAAGGCGAGACCCAGCAGAGACCCCACCAGCACATCTGCATAAAGGAGACACATAACAACACGGATAAGAACTTTTGCTAAATTAGTCCCTTATTTACATTATGCAGTATTATACACTATATATGGACATAACTAACACAAGCACCTGGGTTCATCATGCAAATGTGATAAGTTACCCAAACCTACCTGGCCCTGTGTGAAAAAGTCATTGCCCGTAAACCTAAGCTGCCACCCTTCACAGCAAGAACTGCAATCAAACATGTATGATAACTGACAATGAGTCTTTCACATTGCTGTGGAGGTGATGTGCCCCACTCTTCTATGGAGAATTGTAATTAAGTCATATTGAAGGGTTTTCAATGATGAGGAGCCTGTTTAAGGTCATGCGACAGATGTGAATCAGTTTTAATCCAGATTCTGAGTAGGTCATTCCAAAACCTTCCCTTTTTCACATTTTCTGATAGAGAGCAGAATTCATGCTTCCATCAGTTGCAACAAGTTGTGAAGGTCCTGACGCAGCCCCAGACCATCACACTACCACCACCATGTTTAACTGTTGTTATGACGTTCTTTTTACTAAATGCTCTGTTAGTTTTATTCAAGATTTAATGGGACTCAAAAATGTCAAAATCACGACTGTCACAGAATATTTTCACATAAATCTTGGGGATCATCAAGAAGTGTTTTTGGCAAATGTGAGATGAGACTTTGTGTCCTTTTTGGTCAGCGTTGGTTTTCTCCTTGCCAGAGACATCCTTAGATGTTTGTCTGGGTTCTTTTGTGACCTTTTTCAATGAGTCATTGATGCAATCTTGGAGTAATTTTGGTAGGCTGGCCACTCCTGGGAAGGTTCACCACTGTTCACCAAGTTAATTCATAACTTAACAAGGGGCTAATTACGTTTTCGCATACAGACAGCTAAGTCTGGATAACCTTCATAAATAAAAGCGTTTGATAGAGATTTGTCTTTAAAATAGTACCCAAAATTTGTCAGCTAAAAAAGCCAATTACTTATTTTGCAGTGTTCAGACCAAGCAAATTTAACAGACCTTGCCAGTGGTGTTTGTAGTCGCAGGTTCTGGAGAGGGCGATCACAGCTGCAATGAGTAAAGGAGTGAGGAAGGCACACAGCCGCCACGCTCGGCCTTGGCCCGCTGCTGTGAAGCAGCGCAGCTTTCCTGCAATGTAGAGCGCTGTGAAGCCCAAACCTGCAAAGGCAACTGCAACGAAAGAGAAAGAACGGAAGGGATGAAATAGAGCCAGAGGAAGTTTTATGCCACAAAATGGGAAATCAGAGCTGAAATTATAGCACTGCACTGAAGCCCCACCAGTTAATGATGTGGTCTGCACTACTCTGCTATTAAGAGGCTGAAAAATCTCATACAGTTCCTTTTCTTGAAAGGGCAGAGAGACTTCAGCTGCGGAAGTCTACCTCACCGAGATGTGTAGTTGCATTTCTGATTTTTTTTTATGTTCATAGATTTAAGGCAGTACTATAACTCAGGCATGAGTCTAACAATGAAATAAGAGCCTAAAGGCTATTACACACTTGGATACATGTGCATTGAGATATACGCCCCCCTGCCTCACTCTGTGCCTCCATTTACTTTTCTTGTTGCCTGCTGATGAAAATGTACCAGCTCTGCAGCCATAATTGACCATAACAGCCTCTTACAGGAAGAATGCCCGCTGGGAAAGCTCTTTCTGCCTTCCATGATGACATCTGGGTCACCACTGCATCGCAGCTCCAGATTCATCTGACCGTCTGGGAAACAGCGGTAGAAGAAGTCTGGTCGTGGCCTGAGGATGTGACACAGAATGAACATGGAGGACAAATGTGGAGCTTCTGGTTAAAGTTGAATGTGCTATGTAATGTAACATGCTTACCTGCCAACTACAAGTTTGATGACATTGGTGAAAACTCCGTTCAGCACTAGAGTCAGAGTCACAGCTGGATGACAGGGGGAAACAGAACTGAATCATGAAAAAGACAAATCAACTCAAAAAGCCAGCCCACACATTTAAATGCGACAAACCAAAAAGCTCTTTTGCACGAGTTTCCTACCCAGTGAGGCTTCCTTCAGATCACCACGCTCCAACTTATTCAGGAAGGTGAAAGCCAGGATTACAATCAGCGGGGTGCAAACCGCCACACTCTGTAACAGATCAACAAAAGAGGAGATCATAACAATAATAATTGTAAATCCTCTCCATCTGAGACTGGACACACACACACAAAACTCTCCACAGATTCAATATTAAAAAGTCTAACGTTACAGCAGTGAAAAGCACATTTACAGCCTCTATGGAAAGTTTACCCCTTTAACAACACCTGCTGTATGGTGGGTGATTTACTTATAACTCATAAATATGCTTACTGGTAGAATTTAAAAACATGGGGCTGTTTTTGGGTAATTAAACTAGATTTCTGCATAGTTTTATTTATTTTTTGCTGCTAGGACCTTTTAGACCATTTTCAAAATCATATTATTGGACATATCAAATACCCCATTGTGCAGTACAGCTTTCGTCCTATGCTGATGTTTTAGGACTCCTAAAACTTTCAGGATAATAGACCAGCCGTTTTTAAGGAAATCAAGACTGGTTAAACTGGATAAACTTATTTCTTCTCCACACTCCACGCCTCTAAAATTTTTGAGCCAGTTTATCAAACGTCTCAAAACTCCCCTCTGGAGTCACAGGGGGACTTTACGATTTTGTCCACGTGTTGGACTTTTTTAAAGTGATTTCCCCTGTGAGAACTCAGTCACACTCAGTAAATATTAACTCTACGTCATCAGAACAAACAACAACTGTAAACAAAAGATTTTCATGATCATATAGCTACGTTCTTGATGTGCATCAAAACATATCCAAACTAAAAAGACAAGATGTTCATTTAATATGTAAATTAACCATCATGCGGTTTAATTTTAAAGCTAATAAAAATCCAGAGAGTTATGATATATTATGAATATTTTTTCTCACAGAAATATGAACTTATGGGAGTTAAGGTCCTAAAAAGAAACTTTACAATGATCCTACAAAACAGCAGAAAGTTAACGTGTTCTAATAAAGTACAAAAATGACCAGAGGGATTTTATTTATTCCAGTTTATCAAACAGCTATACTCACAAACATAAGAGAGGTGGGTACATGGTCCCTCTCCACGCGGTGGAATTTATACAGCCACATCTCCTCTGCCTGGATCTCACGGTAGAAAGGAGGAAGCTGCTCCGTCACACTGAGCAAAGCACAAATGGTGTTAAGGTGGTGTTTGCCCACAATAAAACAAAATGCTTGCATTCAGATGTTGTGCTTGTCCCAGGGATAACTTACAGGAACACCACCAACAGCGCCAGCCGGATGGAAATTTCCGACAGGAAACCACGCAGCAGCCTCCTCTTCATTTTGTTTCTCGGAGTGGACGTCAGTCAACAGCAAACATCTTCACTCCACCATCTTTTAACTTAACTGGGACTAAAGACAATGGAGAGCTGAGATTTAGTTTTACTTTAATTTAGATGTTGAAAGAAAAACAATGAAACCTAAATAGATGAGAAGATTATTGATTTTTTTTTTTTAAATAGTTTCAGTGATTTATGCAAAATACTTTAGTTACAAGTATGTGCATTACAAACAGCTGAAGTTATTCTGCTTTATTCTGTTGATGTGGTACAGTTATTTCCTGGGCACCTCCTGGTGATACTGGTTAATGTTTTGGGCTGTAAGTCTAGTTTTAACCTTAACATCTACAGCCAATCACCTGCCTCCATCTCCCCTTATCCTTACTATCCTCCTCTATCACACCAAATTTCCTTGACTACACCCATGAAAATTCCTTTGAAGTATTTCTCTTTTCCTCCTGCATGGCAGCTACATCTTCAACATCCTTTGTCCAGTATGTTCACTATTCCTCCTCTGCAAATGCCCAAATCATCTCGGTCTAACCCCTAACTTTATCTCCAAACACTCAACCTGAGTTGCCCCTCTGATGTACTCATTTCTAATCCATTCCATCACTCCCAATAAAAATCTTAACTCTACCACCTCCAGTTCAACCACCCGTCGTTTGAAATTAAGTTAAAAGATAACCCCGTTTACCAAAATGAGGGCATGAAACGTCACACGAAAGGTAACAATTCCAAGTTTCTCAAAATAATCACCATTAAAGCAAAGCTACTTACATTATTTATACATCCTATATACAGAAAAACAGCAAATATAAACGCTGTACTACAGTAAATATATGGAGCCCACTAAGTCCTGTAAGGTGATATTTTTTTTTATCTTATTACTTGTTTGATTAAGATAATCACTTGCTCGAAGAGATAAATAACTTGTTTGCACAAGATAAAAACCGTTGTGTAACTTGTGTCCACAATAAAATGCTCTCAAAAGCCAAATAACTTGATTTGCACAAGGTTAAAAACAACTCTATCTTAAGGGACTCCATAAAAATGGGGTGTATGTAAAATGATCTTGACACTTAACATCTGGTGTTGGTCTAAAGGAGGAGAAAATAATCTTGTAATTAATAAATACATGAGTGCACCATTCATTTGAAATCACAGGCAAAACGATGCCAAATGCGCCTGTTTGAGCTTATTATTTTAAAAGAAATGCAAAAAATAAAATAAAATTGATGACTCCCCCTCTTTACACATCGTATGTTCGCACAGATAAATACAGGTAAAGATAAAAAGGCAGTTTACATCAGTATTTACACTGACCACGTCTAAAATCTGGCATAAAGGCCAACATGCTGCAACTGTGCCCTCCACTTCCAGATGCTCTATATATTAAAGAGGTTCCATTTGACCGGATATAACATAAACGCATTGAATTATGATCAGTGCCGTCGGTACAGAGGAAAATGATTATTTAAGTGATCGGTACAAAGTATACGTTAGCAGACTAAGCTAAGCTGAGCTAGCAACATCTGTCACCATAGACATCTGGCCGAATTTCCGCGTTGTCAAGCAAATTGACAAAAATTAATACTACTAACCTTAAACCGGAAGCTGTTCTTTACCTCTTTATCCTCATAGTTTACTCTTCTTGTAACATAAAGCAGGCCCCTAACTCTTCTGTGTCTACCGAAGGTGTAAGTCGCGCATTCTTAGATTTGAGAGAAACAGGGATGTCACGGAGGAGGAGGAGAAGGAGCGCTGCGTGAAGCTAACGAACACCGCACGCGCGTCTGGTGTGAGCTGTCAAAATAAAAGCCTTAAAAATTAAAGTGTTAAGTTAAATGCGGCTCAAAGTCCCGTCGTACTCCAGATAGATAGATAGATAGATAGATAGATAGATAGATAGATAGATAGATAGATAGATAGATAGATTGATTTTAAAAAAGCGAGTTGTAGTGAAGAATTGCGATTGTGTAGTTCACTGTGTACATTTTTTAAAAAGTATATTAAAAAGATGGCCAGCAATTATAAAACTGAGGTATGGTGACAGTTTATTACTTTTTCCCTGTGTGTTATTTAGTAACATGTGATTTTTAATCAAGGTATAAAAGTGTTAATTCAGTAATTTTCGATGGACAATTCTTTTCTGCTGTTTTGATTTTTTTTTTTTTTCGTTTACTTTTTTTCGGATGGGGGGTTGTAATGTACTCATGATATAAATGCTTCACGGTGATCCACGTTCGTTCCAAAGGAGAAAAACATTTTCTTGATGTTTTGTAAACCGGAAGTTGTCGTAGATCAGTTTTTCCTGCTTGACACGTGGGATGCAAGAAGCCACGTCACATTACGAATGGCCACCTAGAGGTTACAGAAGATGTCTGCATGATTTATTGCCTAAATGTTTGTTTCTTTACTGCTGCGTCTTCGTAAAATATTTCACTTTTTGCATAAGTTTAGCTCCACTTATTAAATACTCATCCATTCAAAGCTTCCCAGTTTATATTTCTAGGATTTTTATGTGTTTTGCCTGTTAATATGTTTTTACCGCACATTGAGGTAGGAGAAATAGCATTTCACTCATTGTATGGTTGTCCCGGACCAGTTACCAAGAAGGTAAAGTTCATTAAAATACACACTTAAAAATAATTGCCCCGATAATTCTCCAGAGCAAGATTAATATAAGTAAATAAAACTAAACAGAAAC